TGCACTGAATGCACTTGCCATTACTTATTCCTACCTACCCAATAGTCAGTAAAAGTAAGTTACAGCCTATATACGTCCTACTGCTGAGCACAGGCCTCCCCTCATTTATGAGAGGGTTTTAGGGCGAGGAAGTGACCGCCGCGCTGCCCCAATGCGTGTTGGCGAACTTCACATGTCTTAGAAATATTTTTTATCTTATGCCTCAGACATGCAGGTTTCCTCACGATGTTTTCCTTCACCGCCGAGCACGTGGTAAATCAGCACTTAAAATTGCAATTAACAATTTCGTTGGTGCCGGCGGGGAGCAGTAGTCAGTACCTTTGGTAAATAGTAAATATCATTCAGAAATTTTGTGAAAACTTCTTTTTTTGATACATTATAAGGTTTAATATTTTGTTATCTAATCTACATATTGTCATACTATTATTACCTTACGCATATATTAAAACTCAATTAATATTGAAAATATCTTAGTGAATTACTATCACAGAGATAAACTTTAGTATTCAGTGCTGAATAAAGCTCTGTATACGAATTAACATGTAACCAAATATTTTTAGAGCTCCGTAAAAACTGTTTAAAATTTAAATTAACATAATTTGTTAATTATTATGTAAATCATCCTACTAATATGGAGGCAACTTTTTGTGGCATTTTATAATAAACCTTAAATGAAATCAATAAAGTTTTCTTTGCACTTTTATGCAAGATGGTACAAAAGTTTGAAAGTAGATAATATTCAGTAGGTGTTTAACACTGGTTCGTTCGTTGATTTCCTATCGAGATATAAAAACATTTATATATAAAAAAAGCTAGTTAACAAATAATATTTATGATATTGCTACAAAAAATGGTAAGTTAATTTAACGATACGCATAATATATCTTTAAAATTGCGAGTCGTCACAGAAAGCGAACAACCTAGGTTAGGTCGGGAACCGAACACACAACTGTCACCAAAAAAATTATTAATTGGATTTTCATAGCAGATTTACCACGTACTTGACGGTGAAGGAAAATACGGTTTCCTGCATGCTTGAGGATTAAATATTACGAAGACTTTGAAGTCTAGAAAAACGCTCTCAGAAATTAGTGGCCTGTCCGTTCTGCACATGTACTTAAGCTATAAAAGTAAAAGGAAATTGCAGCCTATATATGACTCAGTGCTAGGTAAATATGTATTTCGTTTTTATTTCTGAGAGGGTCATAGGTCATAAAGGCTAGGAAGTCCCTCACCGTGTTGCTTTAACGCGTGGTAACTTGTAACTTGTACTTGCCTTTGTACAAGCAGTTTTCCTCACGTTATTATTGTTCACGCCGGGCACGTTGTAAAACCTTTAGGACCGAGGCGTATTCATCGTAATTGTAACAGATAAAAAATCAGGTGTCTTAAAATAGCAGACTATAAATGTGACAAACTGAAAGAATAGCTCCTGTTCCACGAGATAACAAATCCACCAAAAGACAGTCAAAAGTTTGTCTTTATTCATACATAATATGACAGTTACCTTTGTTAGAATAAGATAAAATATGTTACTGTGACACTCAGTTCTCGTGACACTCGTCACAAGCTCTGTCCTTTTCTCGCATAGGTTAGAAAGAGAAGTTCCTACCAAGACCGTAGTAACAGACTCTTTTGTAACATTTTGTATGAGACTACTATTTTGGAACCATTATTTATATGGAACTGGTACAGGGGAACAAATATGCGATTTTACCTGTTACAGCCTACACCCATACGTTCCTGATATATAGCTTAACAGTACATTGATCTCCTTTTATGATTATTATTTATATTTCGGAATAAATCTTAAGCTGGAGGGAACAAGTTACGGAGATCGACCTCAAGGCCACTGCCATCTGTATCGTCATAAAAACGTTATCCTGTACAAAGCGAAGCTCCTGTCCGTCCAAACTCTTGATTTACCCATCATTCATCATGGAGATGTTTGTTATACGTACTTGAATCAAAATTTCTTAATAATAATTCTTAATAAACCTGAACACCTTCGTAATAACTGCTTCAGATCCATTTTGGGCCTCCATAAAGTAAAGTAAAGTAAAGTTATAGCCTATATACGTTCCACTGCTGGGCTCAGGCCTCCCCTCATTTCTGAGAGGGTTTAGGGCAAGGAAGTGTCCGCCGCGCTGCCCAAATTCGTGTTGACGAACTTCACATGTCTTCGAAATATTTTTTTTTCTTATACCTCAGACATGCAGGTTTCCTCACGATGTTTTCTTCACCGCCGAGCACGTGGTAAATCAGCACTTAAAATTGCAATTAACAATTTCATTGGTGCCGGCGGGGATCGAACCCGGGTTACTCGCGTTCTGTTATATTTACAGCGAGCGTTAACCACTGAGCTACCACGGCTCTTTACGGCCTCCATAAAGTACGATAATATTCTCCAGTTTCGTCTTTGGCTACGGCTAACTATCCAGCAAAGGCGTTATTATAAAGTTTTAATAATGCTCCATTCCATCATAAATAATTTCTCTTGACCGTTTTATCGTTAGAAATCATTTTAATCAATCTTATCCTCATGAGGACAGGGTTCTTTGTTACTTCGTAAATAATGAGAACTTAGTTTATAATTTTTTTTAGATTGCAGTTCACTACACTTCGTCGATTTTATCGACAACTTCTTTACAGTTCAAGCTGAATATCTCTAAAACTCTGTTTTGCGTTTAAAATACTCTTTCTGGAATACTTTGAAAATATCTACTCCAACTAACTCCTTGCAATAGTTATTACCAGTTACCGTTAATAATGTTGATGGGGTTTCTAAAAATGCCTTTTAGGATAAGATATGGATGTATTCTTCCACGTAGCAATTATAAAATCACGTCTTAAATTGCTTGCTTCATTAGCTCCTCTGAAGTATATACGTACCTCTCCTATAACCACTTCCGGTTAATAGGTCAACTGACAAAAACATACAGTTGAATATTGAACCTTTTCCTTTTTTGATCTCGGTTAAAATTGATTGTAACCAAAAAAATTGGTTAAAATAAATTGTTTAGGACTTCTTTTTAAAAAAGGCTTTATTCTTAAACTAGGGCTTTCTCCTGTGTCCCACCTCTACGGCACATATTTTACACGTATAAATTGGACTAGGACAAACATCCACAACAAATATTTGTAGGCCCTTATGCTAGTTACATATTATTATTATTCCGTACGGGATTCGAACTGAAACGGAAATGCTGCTGTCAAATTTGCCATTGCCTTGGGCTCAGACTACCTGACTAAAGGTCCTGTTTTAGAATTCTAGCCCAAGTTAAGTATATCACGATTGCATGCCTGTGTCTGAGACTGCAGTCTTGCCTAGCTCCGATACATCGGATAAGGGTAGGTTTAGTGTGTACTATCTACTATCTATTACAGGATTGCTTGCAATCGAGAATCGATTATAGAAATCGATAGTATATAAAATATATATATATATATATATATATATATATATATATATATATATATATATATATTAACGACGATAATAAGGATGTCATCATCGTTTATAGCCGATGTAAAAAAAGGAGAAAGATCTATTCTCCACAGCATCCACTTACCATCAGATGGACTGCGTCCTGGCTGTTCACCCTTATTCTATATAAAAATATTTACAAGATAACATAAAATAAAATTAAGATCTTCCTTTTTTTAATCGGCAACTATATTGATGATACCCTCACTATCGTTATATTATATAGGTACCTGCCTAGTCTGTTATTTCAGCAGTGGTTCTATAATATATAAAATTCTACCTATATATAATAATATTATAAGGTGGCAAAATAGGGAATAAAATTTTAAATGTGACAATTAAGATGACAACGTGTTTATATTTTATACAAAAGGGTAAAAAATATCATATAATAAAAATAATTAAAACCCAAATAAAGAAATTTGGGCTTTTATTCCACATAGGTAGGTATACTATGTCTTAGCTTTTGGGAACACGATTTTTTTTAGGATTTATAGTTATTTGGGATTAACTGGTATTACTTTTTAATATTTCTTATTTTTTATGGTAAAATTATTTTATATCTACATAAATTAAAATTGAAACTGTTTTAATTCTTAAGAAATAGCTTTAAATTAATTCAAATACGTTCTACCACACTAACCTAAGTACCTATAGTGTTACAACATGTTCTACGTAACATATCTGATTTATGCGATAGCCATAGAAACCGGATAACGTACACAAAAAATGCTTGGGACGAGTCAACTAGAGATAATCTTTGATTCACAGAAATTCCTAAAATTAACCTTAATGACAAAAGGAGAAACATTTGTATTAAGACAAAAAATTAATGGCAGTGCTTTTACTCTATTTTCGTTTATCATATTTTTATATATGTTAAGCTGCTTCTACCTGAAAAACACATCTTTTTATGTATGCATACGGCTCACCTAATGATAAGTGATCACTGTCGCTTCCGCACCCGAGGAATAGCAGGTGCATTGCCAATCTTTTATCCGGCTATCAGGTGTGCAGTACTACATTATTGCCATGCTTAGTAGGTCGGATAAACACATCAGTAGATTTAAGTAAGCACAGAAGACCTCGGCCTGGGACGACATAATTTGGAGTACGGTATATTTAGATTTTTGATAGATGACTTATATTCTAAAACAGTAGCACTAAATTTCTGGCTAATGTAAAAATTTAATGAGTAAGTTTTTACAAATAATTTTACCAAACATAGCATTTGGGTTGCGTCCAGAACGCTCTCCTTCTGAATCTTCAGACGTCTTATGTTACCCCATCGTCTATTCGAAATCACTAGGATCATCTAGTGTTTTCTATATTAATATCTAGGACTAAAAATGAGTCGATCTTATGCTATCAGTTACTATAGTTCCTTAACTGGGAACTTTGGTTGCTCCCATTCTATTAAATCATACCAGGATTATAGCTAAGTGCCTTGCGCCTCAGCTTAAAATATAAATGTTAAAATGCTAAGTAAAAGTAAAAGTTATCTTGTTTCTAGGATGGATTGGTGTTCCGATCATCATCTTGATGGCTGTAATGGCTGCCTTTAGTGGTAAAAGACTTGGTGACTGCTGGTCTATCATTGAAGGTCGCGACCCCGATATGAGAAGCAGGAAGAGAAACCCCTACGCTATCATTGCTGACCAAGCCCTGGGAAAGACGTGGAGGTAATTTTCTCATAATATTTTTTAATCTAAAGTGTCTTGCTCGATATTGGACGACCTTTTAAAATAGCGTAATTCAGTTTTTTTAGTCTATAAATACCTGTGATATCTAGCAAATGATGAGCGTGTTTTGCTGAATTTTTAAAACATACAATCAAATATTACATTTATATCTTAACACATATATGTGTCATGATTCATGATGTTCGTTCATTCTAATCTCCGAAACTGCTCCACCAATTTCTCCTTGGAGGGCTAGTATATATCTATAGAGAGGGAGATATTATTTTTCGATTCGAGTTCCGAGTTAAAATTTTATATAAATAACTTGATAACTACTACAAAAATAACTTGATTTGTGAGTTGCAGCATTATATTCGAGACGGATTCAACATTACTTTGAAAAAAAAACCTTTTAAGTCAAAATTGATACTTGCTTTATCAATTTTGACTTAAAAGTTTTAGGCTTTCAGGTGTCATGTTTCAGACATTGCGTCCAAGCTTACCTATGATTCCGTCGCATTTATGTGATGGATATACGTAAGCATAGCGCTTATAAGTGCTAAGCTTACATAATATGGATTCTATCGCATCAGTTTTAAAGAAATGGGTAGATTTATATACTTTATATTAAATACTTTTTTTCCGAGTCCTCTTAAAGATTTAGTAGAACTCAAAAACATATTACAAACATACTTCAAATATTATTTCACACCAGCTGTGTTATATAAATAATTGTGGAAGTATTATTTTAAATTTGGAAGATTTCTATTGTTTAATAGAATGATAATACGTTTATTGAAGTTAAATGATGAATATAACTTTCAAATACATTTATCGGTATGTAGGATACGCGTGCTACCTAGTGTATATTAATTGTATTATGCCTACTTATAACTGCAGAAGAAATATAGTACGTAAGCGTAATATGGTCATCCGGTTAATATGGTCTCTTATTTATAGTCTAGGGTTGATATTATAGTCATTGACTATTGATATGTATACTTTTTTGAAGTACCTATAAGTTTTTTTAAGTTGATTATTGCCAGAGCTTGTTTGCTGTTTTTTCTTAATATATAAGTTGTAGTATACGCCTTTGAGTTTATGTTACTATTCTCCCCTAGTTTTGGCATTATAGGGCGGCAAAGCTTATGGTGACCATATTACCCTGACGTATCTTAATAGTTACTATATAACCTTCGCGCAACTGCCGGCAATAACTTGACAAGGTTTTTGCGCAATCTGATGAAAAGTATAGCAGCGCATAAAATACGAACAAACAAACGTTCATATTTATATATTAGTAATATACTGCTTTAACCTTTTCTTTACTAACAGCCTTACGCTCTTTTATGCATAATTTTTTTATTCTGATTTCATATGATGTATGGTTGGTAATGCTAGTTGCGGCAAGTGAGCGTTTTTGAGCGTGAAAGGGTAATTTTATTATGGTTTTATTTTCATTTATCGTTTTTTTAAAGAGAAGTGAAAATCGATCTTATAGTCTACCTGATGTAAAGTGGCTAAGGTAGCCCATGGACACCTTTAAACAAGGCATGCCACAGATGCGTCACCTCTGAGAACTAGAATGAAATAGGATGAAATGTACCAATATTACACAGTATCCTTTTATCACGCTGATATTATAAAAAAGCTTCAGGAAGTTCATATAGCCGCAAATTTCTCAATCTTTAGGTAAATACCTATATATTAATACAGATATTTTTAATTTTTAGTGCGGCTGTGTCTCTCGCAATCATTGTATCACTATTTGGAGCAGCGGTGGTGTACCTGCTGTTGGCGGCACAGATAATTGAGCAAGTTTTCCTGTCACTGATACCGACTGTCACATTTTGCGCCTGGTACCTGATCGTCGCCGGCGCTATGACTCCCCTCATGCTCTTCGGAACACCTAAGGATTTCTCGTAAGCTTAAATAAAGAATAAAAATAAATTTAATTAATAAGATAAATTAATTTTAATATTAATATGATTGGCCGTGTAGTGGCAGTGTAAGAACATCCATTACACCATATCCTGGAGTGGATTCCGTTAGAGGCAAGAGAGGATAATTATATCACGAGATGGGTAGAAACATCTTCCTGATAACAGCAGAAAAAAATAAAAAAACTGCGGTTGCCAACCCGCTTGCCAAGCGTAGCAACTATGGCAAATACCCCTCCTACGAAGCAATCTATGGGAGAATCTATTTTGATAGGCTGTTTAGACACAATTCGTATTCAGCCAGATGAGCATACGACTCTGCCGGAAATACAAATATAAATTTAAATAAAAAAATCATTATACAAAAATATTTGTATATTTTTGTATAAAGATTTTTTTTAATTCTTCTCTAAAACTCTTCTTGGAGTTTTCGTGTGGATACAAATAAATAATGGAAACAGATATTAATTATTATATACTAAATATCTTTTATTTTATAGTTTGTGCCTGTACAATTCAATTTATTGCTTTCTTAAAATAAATATCCATCTTTTATTATATTGCAGATTCACAGGTGTCATAGCGTTCTTCTCTACTGTCGTCGCTTGCGTTCTCTACTTCATTCAAATGATGAATGACATTAGACCGTTTGGTGTGTTCCGCTGGGGCATTCATGGCTTCCAGGACTTCTTCCTTGCCTTCGGTACCATTATGTTTGCATTTGGTGGTGCATCCACATTCCCAACGATCCAGAATGACATGACCGACAAGTCCATGTTTAGCAAGAGCGTTCACTACAGTTTCTTGGGTAAGATTCGGAGCTAAACCATGATTTAACCCTATTTTTTTCAATATGTCTACAACATTTCTGGCAGCAGCTTTGGAAGCTTAAATTTCACACGAGCAACATGGATTCAATCTCCGACGGCACTAACGAAATTGTTGAGTTGTATGTCTAAGAAATTTAGAAAAAATATAAACAAAGCAATGTTCCAATGTGAAAAATGTGTATTGGGACACCCCATAGACATTGCGACATTACTATGCCCTGAAGCCCTTTCAATAATTGGAGGAGGCCTGTGCCCTGCAGTAGGACGCTTAAGGTTGTAACTTTAGCGCTTACCTATTCCATTATGGCCATAGGCTCCCAATAGTCAGATGCTGTCAATGGCGCAGGATATAATATTTAAAGTCACAATTTTGCAAATTTGATGCAATAAGATGTCAATTGAGCAGAACTAGACTCGAAAATCGTGACGATAGTGAAAAATCTTTCGTGATGCCCAGGTCTAGAAGTGACCTGAAACGGGCTAATCATTCACCAATACAGACTACTCAATACAATTCAATTTTATTTATTGCCATACCGTTACCGTTATCGTAACAGCCTGTCCACTGCTGAACATATTTTCCATAGTTCCCACAGATGTACGTAGTAGAGTCACGCTGCAGCTATATTATGGTTGTAGCACGAATGGGTCGGCTCGACCGCGAAGGACCACGCTCTCATAGTATACCAGCGTTAAATAGCAGCTTAATACTGCTATGTTTCATATAGTGAGTGTAGAGATCCCGAGACCCTTTTTTACTCGAAACGTTCCACCTTAAGCATTCCACCTTAGTCTTTGGAGGTGGCATCGCATCTGCATTTTGATTCCTAATCGAGGATAAATGTAGATGTTTATGGGCCACAGCATCCACTTACCATCAGATGGACTGTGTGCTCGTTTGTCACCCTTATTCTGTAAAAAAAGTTTTATTTTTTCAGTCGTAATGAAGAAGACACTGCTGCCCATCTCCTGATTTGTTTTCCCCTGTCTCATCTTACGACACACACAGGATGATATGGGATAGTGGATATTCTTGCTAGAATATAGTATAAAATATAATTAAATATATATATACAATATGTAACGTAATTAACGCACACCCTTGGACACCCCAATTAGTATATTATGTTATAATCATAATACATACACTGAATTTTTAGTTAAACATTTTTATGCACTGATTATTTATCAAATTAGTTATACTAATTCCGGAAAAATGTTGTGGTCACAGTACAAATCCACGAACGCAAAGACTTTAAACTTCTTGAAATAAAGTTCATTTTTCTTTATTTTTATTGAATGACAGAATTAGTAATAATACAATTGAAACTGCACTCTTAAAAGTCTTATTGCTTAAGTTAAGGTCCATTTCAGTTTGTTTTGACTGAAAGATTTAGTGTGACTGTAATTTACGTAGTTTTAGTTATTTTTGGGATAAAAAATTACCTATATTAAAAATGATAGGAATCGATTCAGTAAACGATTCTGAACAAACTACTTTCTCAAAGTGCGTTAATTATGTTACATGTTTTATATATATATATATATATATATATATATATATATATATATATATATATATATATATATATAATCTTAGTAAATCAAAACCTTCAACTACCGGTAATGGCGTGCAATATTTTTTCTTATATTCTTAAGTAATAATATTATTACAATTTAATGAAATAATCAAGTGATAATAGGTAAATAAAATTATTACAAGATCATGATCAGAAAATTAATTTCATAATCTACGGCTGAACATAGGTCTCCCCATACATTACCTCATAACTCATGAGGGAAATATCGGCCGTAGTTGCCACACTGGGCAGGTTGGTTGGCAACTGCACTTCCTCATTTTCTAGTTGTAGTTACGAATACACTGCTGCCTATTACCTGTTTTAGCCCTCCCTCTGTTACCTCTAATGATACCTACACGATTGTAACAAGTAACTGGCTGATAAAAGAGAAGAATTTTGAAGTTAGTTAAACAAAATAAAAACTATACTAACTGACCCTATCCTATATATATTTTACGAGTATTTCCATTCGTTAAGAGCTTACAAAAGAATCGTAGGATTAGTAGAATGATTGTTATTGTATCCCAAATCAACCTGCTGATCATACGCCTCCCCCGAGGAATATCACAAAGCACTTTTTCTTCAGCCTGAAAACATATGGAAGTCGATGGCGACTTCCTGCATCTCTTATCAATTCGTTACTCCATCTAGTGAGGGTATTCTTAAATTTCGCTTACCTGTATCATGCCACCAATTGATAAGCTTTCTTCCCCATCAGTCGCCATATTTTTCCTGGTTACAGCTTTGAACTAAAATACGACCGTTGACTGATGCTTAAAAGCTACCGACTGCCAAGAAGTAAAATCGTGGTATCGAACCCACCATTGGCTTATATCGAGTAGAATTTTATCAGGAGTGACTTAGTTTTAATACCTATCGTTAATTTAGGTAATTCTTATTTTAAATATATTTGACACATTGCCACTTAGCTTCCTAATCTGTATTATTATTTTATTATTTGCAGCTATCCTGGCATTGTACTTGCCCATCGCTATTGCGGGTTACGGGGTGTATGGAGAGTCAGTAGGCTCAAACGTAGCGACGTCTCTTTCAGCCACGCCTTTAACTCTAGTTGGAAATATCTTCATGGCCATCCACCTTGTCTCCGCTTTCATAATCATTATCAATCCCGTTTGCCAGGAGATGGAGGAACTATATAACATCCCCAGAGGTAAATTATTTGTATAATTTTATATTAATTTGTTTCTTTCATCATTTTAACAGCTATTTGTTTTTGAACATATTGCTTCTTTATAAACTAATCTTAAAAACTACATTAAAAATATATAGTTTAAATGTAGTTATTAAAAGGGCTGGATTTTATGGAATATATAAAACCCACTCACAACTTTACACCTTCGTAATATGTTTTTGGAATAAAGTAACAGTTTTGACCTATCAGCTTTTAGAAATATTAGGTTTTGTAGTATTTTACTAGAAATTTTACAGAGAAACTTGCATAAGTTTGATTTAAAGTAAAATTATTTATAGGCCGCGACGAAGGAATACATTGTGTTAAAACTTGCCATATATAAGGTGTAACTCTACTTTTTTACTTTTATAGAAGAATTGTTAAAATAAACCCTCGTTACAGATTCAGTCGGATACCGCACATTAGTTCGCTTGTCAATAATGGCTGCAATTATGTTCATCGGCGAAAGTATCCCGCGTTTTTACACCATCCTGGCGCTGGTGGGAGGAACTACGGTCGCTCTCCTTACCTTCATACTTCCTTCATACTGCTACCTCAATCTTGTCAGCCAACCACCTAGGGAAGGACAGCAAGCCACGTAAGTAACCCTGTCGTTAGTAGATTGATTTACTCTCTTACTCTTTCTTTTTCTCCATCTCAATCCAACAAAAAGAGATAGATGCGTACCTTTTCAAGTGACATAAGTTCACGCAGCGTCATCATCATCATCATCATTACAGCCCTTCACAAGTCCACTGCTGAACATAGGCCTCCCCCAAGTAATGCCACAAAGCACGGTCCTGAGCCACCTGCATCCATCGACTTCCTGCATGTCTTACCAGGTCGTCACTCCATCTAGTGGGGGGTCGCCCTACACTACGCCTACCGGTACGAGGCTGCCACTCGAGAACCTTTCTTCCCCATCGGTTATCGGTTCTTCGAGCAATATGGCCGGCCCACTGCCACTTCAGCTTACTAATCCGTTGGGCTACGTCGGTCACTCTGGTTTTACTGCGGATATCCTCAATTCTGAGTCTATCACGCAGAGAAATCCCGAGCATAGCCCTCTCCATAGCTCGCTGAGCGACCTTGAGCGTCCTCATACGGCCAGCAGTGAAGGACCACGTCTCTGATCCGTAAGTCATCACTGGCAACACGCACTGGTTGGCACACTTTAGTTTTCAGTGATTGAGGTATCCTGACGAGAATATGTGTTGTAATTTCCCGAACGCTGCCTAGCCGAGTTGAATCCGTCGATTAACCTCTCGGTCAAAGTTGGACTTAGCTGGTCGGACTATTTGTCAACTACCGGCATAGGTGTGACATGGACATTAAACATGATCTTTGTTTTGTCCATGTTCATCTTAAGACCTATCCGTTGTGAGACACCATTGAGGTCATTGAGCATAGTGCTCAGGTCCTCCAGCGATTCTGCCATAAGGACTATATCGTCGGAAAATCGAAGGTGAGTGATGTACTCGCCATTGATGTTAATACCGTATCCTTTCCAGTCCAGTAGCTTGAAAACGTCTTCCAATGCAGCGGTGAAGAGTTTCGGGGATATAACGTCACCCTGTCTTACACCTCTCTGCAGTTGGATAGGTTTCGTACTCTGGTTCTGTACTCGGATAGCCATCGTAGCCCTACTGTACAAACACTTCAGCACTTCGATATACCGACAGTCAACTTGGCACCGCTGAAGGGGCTGTAGCACCGCCCATATTTCGACGGAATCAAAGGCTTTCTCATAGCCTACATACGCCAGGCAAAGTACACCAAAGTACACCAGGCAGCGTACTCGCAAACAACTTTCTTCTTACTTCCTTTAATAGCCCGGTAAAAGTCTACTGCTGAACGCACACACCTAAAATATGTTGTAAATGATTTTAAATTCATACGTGTGCGTGATTGCATGATTTTATAATCATGCTTCTGACTTCACTTTCTTTGCTGATTTTAGATGCATACGTGTACGTGATTGCATGTTCATATGATCATGGTTTTAACTTTACTTTCTTTGTTGGACTGAGATATATATGACGGGAACAATGTGTGTTAAAAAAGAGTTTAGGGAATTTATGTCGACGTATTAAAAACTTTTTGATGATGATGAGAGACGCCACGCTGCCTATATCGATTGCTAAAATATAATAAATAGTTTGCATATTAATTCCGCATATTATATCGCTTCCAAATAAACGTATTTGAGCGCGCTTCTTATTTAATAAGTGACTATATTCCAGTTTGATATTTACTTCTAAATTTTGTCTAACCTTATTTATTTTATCAAACATTGCAATATATACTTACAATATTAAAACTCAATTATAAAAAAACACTAGAAACTGACATTATCATACAGTCCCACATCTCGTGGTATCGTCTCAAGAACGCTGGCTGCGTTTCCTCGCTGAATAGCTATACTTAACCTTTGGGCGAGAAAAGAAGACCAGTCGCGGATACAGTTCCTTTAGGAACTTCACTGCACGTGGACCCTGCGGACAAATAGTTTCAACCATACAGTACCTACTATAAGGCATACACAATTTTCTACAGCAAATGGCAAAAATATGTCATCTCTCACATACTCATATTTGCGCCACTAACTTAGTTCAGCTGCCTCTAAACATAAAATAAATAATATTTTGTCTTTCCTGCAGTGAAACTCAGGGATGGATCAAGCTCGTGTGCTGGGAAATCATAGTTTTGGGTGTTGTAGGCGGTGCCGCGGCTACCTTTTCGGCCGTGAGCGCCATCTTCAGCACGGCGCAGGCAACTCCATGCTATTTGAGATAGGCATCATGACAAAGTTTAGGACCACAGTGGCCTATGCTTGTTTTTGTAAACACTACATTTTTTTAATTAGTTTTGTCAGTTTTTTAGAATTTCATAAGTGCGTTATTTATAAGTATATGAAAACGTTTGTAAATGAACATTTTAGGTCATCCCACTTTCGTGTCATCTTTTTATTTACATATTGTTTTAACATTTTTACTGCCACATAATATAATAAAGTCGGTATTCCCGTTATGGCAAACAAAAAATCTTTGAGAGCAATGTGATATATTATATTACGTATTTTTACCCTACTTGTAATATATAAACCGATAAAGCGTTAATAAAGAAAAAAGCAACTGGCGTTATACACATATATATAGTAAATCAATAAAGAAAGGTAAAATCACGAATTAAAAACAATAAAATATTATGTCCATAGAAGTGTGATGACCTACTACGTGCTAAACATTATTTAATAATCCAATTTTTGGTATACTCTTATTTTATTGTTTCTATGTGAAAATATTTTATGAAATACGAATTTTAAATATTAGTTTTAGTTATATCTTGATGTAAAGTTAACTCATATGGTAAATAGAAAATGGAAAGTTAACTTTAAATATAAACATTAAATATTCTTATATCGAATTATTTATTTCCTATTACATATATTATATTATATAGCGAGTCGTGGTAGCTCAGATGGTTAGCGCTCGCTGTAAATTTCACAATACGCGAGGAAACCGGGTTGGATCTCCGCCGGCACCAATGAAATTGTTAATCGCAATAATTTTAAGTGCTGGTTTACCATGTGCTCGGCGGTGAAGGAAAACATTGTGAGGAAACCTGCATGTCTGAGAAATAAGAAAAAAATATTTCGAAGACATGTGAAGTTCGCCAACACGCATTGGAGCAGCGCGGCGGACTATTCCTTACCCTAAAACCCTCTCAGAAATGAGAGGAGGCCTGTGCCCTTGACCTTGACTAAGAGGAAGTAAGTAACGAAAGATAAAAATAAAAAGCGTTTTAAAAAAGGTTGATTAGTCGCGGGGCTATCATAACTTTTAAATAAGAGTAGAGCGGCGGTGTAAGAATATTCACTGCCTCATATAGTCCCGTGGGCTTCGTAAGTGGCGACGGACGGAATTTAAAATAGGAGATGGCTGATAACAACTTAAAACTATAAATATATTTAGTTCATTTTCCTCCGAAAAGGTGGAATGGTGATGTAATTTTTTAAATTTTTTGTGAAGTGTTTGATTGTGAGAATTATAATTATTGAGAAGCATCTGCTCTTCCTTATCGCATTTGAGCTGCTCTTATAAACGACGGGCCTGTTTCTCCCGTCGGTGGGCCTGTTCCTCCCGTCGGTGGGCCTGTTTCTCCTGTCGACGGGCCTGTTCCTCCCGTCGACGGGCTTGTTCCTTCTGACGACGGGCCTGTTCCTCCCGTCGACGGGCTTGTTCCTCCTGCTGTTCTCATCCTTTCAGAAAGGAGGTCAATGTATAAAAGAGTATGAATGTGTAAGCCTGAGGTTGCTATGAATACGAATGAAAGTGGGTTTCAGGAGGATGTTTGTGTATTAAATTTTGAATGGCGTCCCGTAGTAACGCCCAACATGTTCATGGGAACATCATAATGACTGCTATTATTTATAAATTTGAACAAAAATACCCATAATATTGATACTTTGCGTAAGTACTAAAACATATTAAGCTTACTCATGATGATAAATATATATAATACTAGCTTTTGACCCGCGGCTTCGCTCGCGTGGGCATTTACTTAGCAATATTAATAAACGTTGTTCATTTGGCAAAATTCGATCACTATTACAGTCACCTCAGTGTCTGTGTCTTTTTTATATCTGTTTGTCAAAGTAAACACATTAATATCGTATCTCTATAATTCCGATGTATCCATAAGAAAATTGTCTTGGAATAATTTTTTATCAACTATTTTTACATTCGGAAAAAAATGCGTTATTTAGGTACATTTTACACTTTATATTCTTTCATCATCAAAGTATAGTTTTATCAAAACAATGATAAATTATATTGTCGTCTATTAATCGACGGTATGACGTTTATTTGTGATATTTGATTCATAATTGGTCCCATTTAATATTGATTAGCACCATAAAATAAACAATGATATTATTTTTACGTTCGAGTAGACTGCAAACTTTCATAAAGGAAGTTCTACAACGATTTGTTACATTAACGCGAATACGGCATGGAATAAAATAAAATTTACAAATTTTATCGCATTTAATTTGAACTTTTTACGTGGGTTTTTATATGCATCTTTGGATGAAAATTCCATAAAAAACCCGAGTAATAGAACATATCGCCGATGTAAAGCACCGACGCTCTAAGAAGTCTGTAGTATCAGATCTGATACTACAGACCGGAAATCTTCGCAAAAACCCGCGATTCCCACCAAGAATAATTTTAGAGGCTATTTAAATTTTAAAAAATCATCCATATTTCAATAGAGAACATCTCAGGGTGCTACCGTCTGCTTGGCATCACATAATTACTAAAATTAAATTTAAACCCAAGCATACTACTGCAAGACTGATTCCTATAACATGCCTTCGTTAACTATAACATCAGGACGTTAAGCATCCCAGTGCCCCCTCCCCCCGTAACCATGGGTGCTGTAAAGTATTAAAAAGTTAAAATTCTAAAAAATAGGTTCATTCCAAATGAATTTCTCTTCCCAGTGAAAGTGGGAACAACCACACTACCATGAACGGAAGTAGAAAAATGAACGCCTTGTTATGGCGGCGAAAAAGAATCCGCCACCTCATACCATTATAGCAAATATCCAGCCTATTTGAAAATTTATGGGGGAGGCTTATGTGGACTTTTGATAGGCTGTAATGACGACGATGATGAGTTCTACGCATACATACTACTACGCTACGCATTAAAAGTAAAAAGTAGCAGCCTACATCTCATCATAGTCATTACTGGGCACAGGTCGTAGACATTTATAGTTATTGTTCAAAAAAGTTTTCGCTGCGCACGGAGTTACTTCAACTGGGGAACCAGATAATCAGGTTTCCTCGCGATATTTTCCCCACTTTCGGGAACGTATTAAATCGACACTTCAAATTGCAATTAAAATACCTATTTAACTACTCAAACATCTAGGTTTTCCCACGAAGTTATTGTTCACTACTTCACCGGACACGTGATAAGTCAGCAAGTAAAATTTACTAAAACAGACTCATTTGTCCTCGAGGGAATCGTACTGCTAATCGGCCTGCTACACGGCTCTCGTAAATGTTTAAATAAAATTCATGAAAACTGACACAAAGCTTTTGCATGATTGGAGATCACATCTAATTAATAATTAGACATCCGACGATGCCACGAACTATTTCATCAAATAGAGTTAAAAATCTCGCAGTGCACTGAATTTTCAATTATTTACGTCAGAAAACGTGATAACAAAGGAAGTTGGTGAAATTAAAGCTATGCTGATAGACATACAATATATTCAATTAAAGAGCTTCTGTGCGATATATTTTATCGTAGCGAGGTACAATATTATATCGCGTCTGTTGCGTGGAGTGTACAGGACCGAACGCACAAGGTCGTTCGCTAGGAGTAGCACCTTATGGCGTATTATAATACTCGCTCGTACTGACGTTAAGTAAATAAAAAAAAATTAATTACTACGTAAATACAGATATTAATGCGCTTAGTAGACGACGAAGATGAGGTAAGTCTGTTACTTTTGAAGTAAAACTTTCTTATGCACGCTTGACTTGAAGAGTAAGCTGGAGAACGCGTGACGAATCCGTTACGAAAAGTGTGATGTGTGTGATAGCCAGTTACTTTACGTATTTTATGAATTAATATTTTGTTCAATATATTAAATATTATACGTATATGCATATATAAACATATATGCATAGACGTATGTACATACAGATGGGAGCTAAAGAAGTTTTACTTCAGTCGTATGGTTATAGGCCCCCCCTTTTTTTCTCAGTTTTTGTTTTTAAAGAACAAGGATTTCTAAATTACGGTGACAGTGATAGATGGCGCTATAATCATCTCGTCAACTAGGAGTAGCGTCACAAGTAAGGGATATCTGGTGGCGACTATGGCAATTTTTACTATAGTTCATTTCAAATAGGATGGCAGGATTCCACTTGAGACTTAGCAATTACAGCTCTAATGTTAATCTATTGTTGTGTGATTTTTTTTTTGCTTTAACACTTGAAGTTAAGCATCTGTTGATAATAGTGAACCAGTATAGCTGGAATGACGAATTTTGGTACTTGAACATTAAAACAAATTAAATTGTAGATAAAAAAACCTTTATTGCTTTTAACTTAACTATTTTAAATACTTATAACAACTTGTTAATATTTTGTTTAATCAATCACTCTGAAGAACATTCATCGGTATCTGTGTCCTCACACGTATTTATTATAAATGGTTGTATCCGATCCCTCGAAAATTCGTTTTCCACTCTTATGACATGGTCACAAACATTCTTCCAAAAAATGGGATTTGTAGAATTTATTACGTTTCGTACACTTTGGATTACATTTTCCCCTATTGTAGGCGTAACGTTTGACTTACGGACAGTTTTTTTTATATGACTCCACATTAACTCAATTGGGTTCAATATACAATAATAAGGTGGGAGTCTCATTATCTCATGACCAGCCTCTTGTGCTAATTCATCGACCACATATTTTTTTTTCAAAATAATTGTTTTTGACTACTTCCAACAAACTTTTAATTGTTGATTTCTCTGGCACAGAAATGTTATGACTTCTTAAAAAACTTATTATGTCACTTTTCCTAGTGTTTGTGCTGGGAATTTTTTCTATTTGTCGGCTGTGGTATGATGCGTTATCCATAACAATCACACTGCTACTGGAAATATTAGGCAAAAGCTGATCAGTGAACCATTTCTCGAATAATCCAGAATCCATATCTTCATGGTAGTCTGCACTAGAGCTTTTCAAATGTTTGCTAGAGATCAGTAAAGCCCCTGGTATCCAGCCCTGTTCACCGCCTGCGTGTAATATTATTAAACGTTTACCTCTAGAACATGGAGCTTTAGTTGTACAACTTGGTGAATTGTCTGTGTACCCTTTTTTTAGAGTATCGTGAGTGTCAAACCATGTTTCGTCTAAATATAGTATATTTTTTCCTGCCGACCTTCGTAAACGTGTCTCACTAATAAATTTTTCTCTTAGTAATAAAAGTCGGGGACTTTCCATTACAGTTCTTCTTTCGTCTAATTTTTCATACTTGAATCCAAGTTTTTTTAATAGTCTCTAGAGTGTAGTTTCTGAATATTCAAAACCAGCTTCACTTCTCATCAATGATTGATAAATCTCACGTAACGTTGGAATCTTATTGTTGAGGTAAAAATTGTAAATAGTCCTTCTCGCATGTTCCTCTGTAAAATTATCAATTCTTTTAAAACTTATCTTGGTCCGTTTACGAGGAAGATGATTAGATCCTGCTGACCCTATTCTACAAATAGTTCTTATACGCACGTTTGTTAATTCCGATGTCTCTTTAATCACTCCCTTATCACCCATGCGTTTCAAAAGCTTATTGTAAACACTCAAAACTATGTCTTGAGCGTCTGAACTTAAATGTCTTTTTCTACGCTGAACACTATTTTCATCACTTGTATAGAATATCAAATAGTGCATCTATATTTCCCATGGTCGAAACATGTTTATTTGTACGTCTGTGTAATAACGAAGTTACAAAACGACTGAATTTTTGACAACAATGTCATCGTGTATTTAACAAAAGCATCAAAACTTGTTTGCTGCCACAAAAATACCACATCAGGATAAGGTCTTCCCAGGTATCGGTTGTAAAAACCACTTCTTTTGTTATCGCCTAATGACCGCTTCAAGTACAATCCTGCCATGCTATTTGAAATGAACTATACTATGAAAGATGCTAAGCGTTTGGTTTCAGCGCTATTAGCCGCGGGTTCGAATCCTGCACTGAACAAGTGCTTGTATGTGGTACAAATTATTGAACCGGGCCTGGATTTTCCCATGTGTAATTTATACAATATACATAAACAGTATAAAACGTTAAGCCGGAAACGGGCAATAAACCAAGCCGTGACAATTATTAGAAAAATGTAACAAAAATCTTGGTCATGTACTTTTCAAATTATAAGGATTCAGAAATAAATCTCAAAAACTGACCACCCTATGATGATCTTTCAAATCCTGTGATTACAAAGATTACAAATATTAACTCTTCGTCAGTCTTTTTTCCTGTGATGTAACCATGAGTAACCCTTGTGTAAATTACAGTTAAAAGTTAGAATATAGCTGCTTCAGTTTCAAATAAAATGTTACATCTTTGGCCAACATTGAATTCAAAAAAATTACATTAAACAACTTTAACCGACTGTACTGTCAAATGTACTACACACTATTTTGGCAAGTAACACAAAACGATGTCATAGTTAGCCCGGCTAACTGTAGACTTTTTGCTCCGACTACGCAGATTATTAAAAAGCTACGACAAGAACGGATAGGAAAAGGCTAAGAAATGACGGAAATCAAAACTAAGTTAAAGCAATAGTAAAGTAATAAACATCCCCCAATGCTGGGCACAAGCCCCCTTTCATTTTAAAGAGGGTTGTGGCTGCTTAGTGCGTATTGGCGAAGTTCACATGACCTTAACATATGTTACTTCTTAGACATGCAGGATTCCTTACGACGTTTCTTTTCATTGATTACTTAACAGGATTAATTAACGAGTGGCGATGTAAGAATATTCACTACATTTATACGTGGTAGAGCCATGCTGCAGTTATATTAGTAATATAGTTGTAGCACGAATGGGTCGGCTCGACCGGGGAGGACCACGCTCTCGCAGAATACCAGCGTCAAATAGTAGCTTAATGCTGCTGTGTTTCGTATGGTGAGTGTAGATAACCGGAGATCCGTTTTAGTGGAAAAGAGGCATTCCAGTTTAGTCCTCACGGGTGACAATGCATCTGCATTTTGATTCGTAATCGAGGACAGATGTAGATGTCCATGGGTCGCAGCAACCACTTACCATCGGGTGGAGTGTGTACTCGTTTGTCACCCTTCTCCTATATAAAAAACGCCGTATCATCCAGATGGCAACAATCACAAATTTCCCTCTAGTAGGAAAGACCTATGTTCAACAAGGGACTTTAAAAGCATATGCTGAGACTGAATCATTTTTGTCATCACATCACTCACTCTTGCTGAGATTTATTTTTATTTATGTTTACAAACTTGTACCTTGTGTGTTTTTATGTTTTTATTTAATTTTAAATACAAATTTTGTGAGTGTATTGATGCTAATAAAATTTATATCTATGTCTAAAAGGCTGTAACGGTAACGGCTGAACGCCGCGGATTCGAAGTCTACGGATCGAGTATTGTATGGCTTATAAATAATTTTTACGTGCCTGGATGTTTGCCCTTGTACAATTTACAGCATCCAAGATTCAGGTAAAAAATCTATTGTGGGGGTATCGTTTATTTAAAAACTAAAAAAGCGAGTTCGTGTATAGTGGTTTCTGATATATAAGTTGCCGTGTAGTGGCGGTTGAGAATATCCACTGCCCCATATCTTCCCGTGGGTGTCGTAAGAGGCGACAGAGGGAGACAGGCAGGAGATGAGCAGCAGCATCTTCCTGATAACAACTGTGATATAATAAAAAACTGCGGTTGCCAACCCGTGAACCATGAACAAAGTCGCAAACAAACGGCCCCCATTCCCCGGCGGTCCCGCTATTCCTGGCTACGGTGGCGACCATGGTAACGGCGGGGTAAGGGGAGCTAAGAATCTCCGGTGGAGGTCCTGTTGCCACCTACAACGACTCGACCTGGCAACGTATAACGCACGCACCCTGAGGACTGATGAGTAGATACTGGAGCTGGAAGAAGAGGTAGACAAGTTGCGCTGGCATATTATTGGATTATCTGAGGTCCGAAGAGAGGGGGAGGACACGGTAATCCTCGAGTCCGGAAACTTGTTCTATCACCGGGAGGGCGACTATCTGTCCCAAGGAGGTGTCGGATTCATCGTCTACAAGTCTCTTGTCAACAACTTTGTAAAGATTGGGAGTGTGTCGACGAGGGTCCCGTACCTGATACTCAGAATCACCAAATGGTATTCGCTGAAGGTCATACACCAACCTCGGCACATCCCGATGAGGAGCTGGAGGAAATGTATGAGGATATTTCCAGAGCCATGTATTCCTACAAAACCCACTACATGTAGTTGATGGGAGACTTCAACGCAAAACTAGGCACAAGAGAAAGCGGTGAGCTGAAGGTAGGGAAATTCGGTGTAGGGCAACGGAACCAAAGGGGCCAGCTGCTGGCAGACTTTATGGAGAAAGAGGGACTCTCTACGATGAACTCTTTCTTCCAGAAGCGACCCCACAGGAAGTGGACCTGGTCGAGCCCCGACGGTTCAACAAAAAATAAGATTGACTTCATTACGACCAGACTGTTCAGTGATGTCTCAGTGATCGCAAGGGTGAAAACTGGCAGCGATCACCGAATGGCTAGAGGCACGCTGAACCTAAACGTTAAGTTGGAGAGGTCTCGTCTAATAAAGTCAACGCTCTGTCCCCCTCGTGCTCTAATCCAGAATCCCGAAACCTTTCAGCTCGAGTTACGTAACCGCTTTCAGTGCCTAGAAGATTGCAATGCAGTGGACGATGTGAATGACAAGCTCGTGGAAACTGTCCATGCGGTCGAAGCTAAGTTCAGCAAGACCCGCCGCAGAAGAACACAAAAACTCTCCGATCACACTCTTAATCTCATGGCTGTTAGACGGGAGATGAGGCTGCAATCGTCAACAGATTTGACGGCATACAGGCAACTGAACAGACCTATCTCCAAATGCATGCGGCGGGACTTACTCAACTTTAATACTGCTCGTATTAAAGAAGCGATCGAGCGGAACCAGGGCTCCAAAGTCTTTGCCAGAGATCTGTCTGCCAGAAAGAACCAACTGTCAAAGCTGAAGACTGAGTGTGGCAACATCGTTTGCGGGACACCTGAGATTCTGAGTGAGATTGAGAGGTTCTATGGGCAACTGTACACATCACCGTTGGAGCCACACGCAAGTGTGAGTAAAGATCCAAGAGCAAGTCTTATACGACACTATTCCGATGATATCCCGGACGTCAGTCTGAGCGAGATTAGAATGGCTCTCCACCACCTTAAAAACGGTAAGGCCGCGGGCGGGGATGGAATTACAGCGGAGCTTCTGAAAGCGGCTGGAACACCGCTACTTAAAGTCCTTCAGAAGCTCTTCAATTCCGTCCTCCATGGTGGCACTACTCCGGAGGCGTGGAGCAGAAGAGCGGTGATCTTGTTCTTTAAGGAAGGCGACAACGCTCTCTTGAAGAACTACAGACCGATTTCCCTTTGAGCCGCGTCTACGTGCTGTTTTCGAGAGTCATTACGAATTGTCTCGCACGCAGACTCGACGACTACCAGCCTCCCGAACAAGCCGGTTTCCGAAAAGGCTTCAGTACTGCGGCAGATTGTACAGAAGACCGAAGAGTACAATCTGCCACTTTGCCTGGCATATGTGGACTATGAGAAAGCCTTTGATTCCGTCGAAATTTGGTGGGTGCTACAGTCCCTTCAGCAGTGCCAAGTGGACTGTCGGTATATCGAAGTGCTGAAGTGTTTGTACAGTAGGGCTACGATGGCTATCCGAGTACAGAACCAGAGTTCGAAACCTATCCAACTGCAAAGAGGTGAAACTCTTCACCACTGCGTTGGAAGACGTTTTCAAGCTACTGGACTGGAAAGGATACCGTATTAGCATCCATGGCCTACAGTACATCACTCACCTTCGATTTAACGACGATATAGTCCTTATGGCAGAATCGATGGAGGACCTTGGCACTATGCTCAATGACCGGTGTCTCCCAACGGATAGGTCTTAAGATGAACATGGACAAAACAAAGATCATGTTTAATGTCCATGTCATACCTATGCCGGTAGTTGTTGGGAGCACTATGCTCGAAGTTGTTGACGAGTACGTTTACCTGGGACAAATAGTCCGACTAGGTAAGTCCAACTTCGACCGAGAGGTCAATCGACGGATTCAACTCGGCTGGGCAGCGTTCGGGAAATTACGACACATCTTCTCGTCAGGTATACCTCAATCTCTGAAGACTAGATTGTACAACCAGTGCGTGTTGCCAGTGATGACATACGGATCTGAGACGTGGTTCACTGCTAGCCGTATGAGGACGCTCAAGGTCGCTTAGCGAGCTATGGACAGGGCTATGCTCGGAGTTTCTCTGCGTGATAGACTCAGAAATGAGGATATCCGCTGTAAAACCAGAGTGACTGACATAGCCCAACGGATTAGTGAGCTGAAGTGGCAATGGGCCGGCCATATAGCTCGAAGAACCGATAACCGATGTGGAAGAAAGGTTCTCGAGTGGCAGCCTCGTACCGGTAGGCGTAGTGTAGGGCGACCCCCCACTAGATGGAGTGCGACTTGGTAAGACATGCAGGAAGTCGATGGATGCAGGTGGCTCAGGACCGTGCTTCGTGGCATTGCTTGGGGGAGGCATATGTTCAGCAGTAGACTTGTGAAGGGATGTAATGATGATGATGATGATGATGATGATATATAAGTATTTTTATAGAATAAGGGTGGCAAACGTGTACACAGTCAGATCATCCACTTACTGGCAAGAGAGCACACACTTGATTATAAGTGGATGCTGTGGCACATATACTTGTGCATTTATCTTCGATTAAGAATCAAAATGCAGATGCATTGTCACCCCTTAGTACTAAGGTGGAATGCTTCGTAGTACAGTACAGTAAAAAGGGTCTCCGGTTCTCCACACTCACCATACGAAACACAGCATCATTAAGCTGCTATTTTACGCTGGTATTCTGTGAGAGCGTAGTCCTTCCCCGGTCGAGTAGACCCATTCGTGCTACAACCATAATATAGCTGCAGCAGGGCTATACTGAGTAAAATATTATGTTAAAATTAAGTTAAACAATCAATATTGTAAATTGATTTAATAACTTAATTTTTCTGACATTAAATAAAAACTATTTATACGGATTTGTTGCATTTAATTTTATTTCTTCCGTGACCATCGAAAAACGCGGGAATTAAAAAATAAGTAATACTAAAGTACTTTCGTAAATATAAGAAGTTATAGTTATAAGAAATTATTAGTTTACAACACAAATAAAATATGCACATTATCCGCAACAAACTTTGTCAAATCATTTCAAAGAATTCCAATAATGTCATCAAGAAACGCAATAATATTTTTCAAGAAAGGTATTTACCTAAGTATAAAGTTTAGTATAATAAGTGAAACATGTCTTATATAGTTGTTAAGATTTTTTATATCGTTCTTATGTTGGTATTACATCCGATTTGATTTTTTAAATATTAGGTAAAGATTAGGGTATTTTGAAAATAAAGCTTGTACTATATATAGTTGCGTGTCCTGTGTACAATATATAGTTACGAGACGTGCTGGACACACGTTTGTTTTTGATTTAAATTTTTGACTTTTGAATTTAATTTTTCTTTGACTTTTTAATTAAAATTTGACTGATATTCTATAAATTAAACAGATCATTCACCGTAATACTTTTGTGACAGCAAGCAAACACGTTTAAACAGGTGAGCTTTTTTTTTTATAAAGATGTGTATTTTATAACTTTAGTGTGATGAAATTTGAAAAATCCAGCACACACGTCTAAACAGGTGAGCATTATTTTTATAAGGATGTGTATTCATATTACGCGTTATGAAGGCAAGCAGTGAAATAAACTACGCTCCCACCGGGGACGGACCACGCCCTGTTTTTCGTTTGTTGAGTTTAGAGAACGGGGACCCTTTTTACTGGAAACGAGGCATTCCATCTTAGTACTCAAGGGTGACAATGCATTTGCTGCATTTTGATTCTTAATTGAGGATAAATATCTATGTCTATGGGCCATAGGGTCCACTTACCATCAACTTGACTGTGCGCTTGTTTATCATCTAATGCTATAAAAATAGTAATATATTCCGTACTGATATACCAAGGTAAAGTAAAATTACGACTGCTATTACCCGACCGCACCAGACGGCGGGTAATGTTTTTCGAGATTATCTATGTAATATATGTATTATTTGGTACACATTGTAGCCGAAATTGCTTGATGAATTCAATTTGATCTTCGATTGATTACACGTATGAGGTGTAATTAGATTCATCATAATTGTACGAGTGGAAGTTGAAACTTTTTTATTCAATACCGTAAAATGCCCTAAATTTGCATGAATTTATGGGTTTTTGTAATATTTCTTGACATGCATAGAAAAAGTGACATCATATATCAAGAAATAATATAAACCAGAACTTTGTGCGCCTAGCAAAATAACACCTTATAGTCTAACACCTCATATTTTCTGAGATATAAGATTCGTAACATCCAGGCAAAGTTAATGGTATTTCCTGTACTTTGCCTAGGAACTACTTTGTCTAAACACGTTCCCATAAAGTATTGGTTTATTAATAATACTTATCCATGACATACAGTGAAAGGCTTTTAATTTTTTTTATTAAGAAGGTAGGCAATGTTAAGCAGACATTTTGAGCATTAAGTAATTTTATGGCAAACCTTTTATGGCTGTCACCTTGTAACCATGGGAAAATAAAACAACTTATTTGTTAAAAAAGGTCATTCCGTTTATCCACCCTAATTAGTGTAATAAAGTAGTATACATTTTAGTGTGGATAAAAGAATGATCATGGGCGGCGGTAGTCACTTAACATCAGGTGAGCCGCATGCTCCTTTGTCCCCTCTTCTATAAAAAAAAGGATTAACTCGTTAAAAATTCAAACATCGTCAATGTTACTTTGTTTTATTTAATACCTAGGTAATATATTTATGATTACAAAATAAATAAAATTTTTATGATTAGAAAATAATAAATAAATAAAGTGCATAGGTAATCTTCTATTCCGACTAGGTACATTTCGAATAGGTATATATATAAATATATGTAATATTATAATATATAATAAGTATAATATATATAATATATAATATATATATAATGTATAATACACACGTTGGCATGATTTTTGACTAATAAACCAACATGATAAGGCAGGTAAGTACATAAATAGCTAAATTAACAAATTATACTTAAAAAATTATTAATCAATAAAAATAAATAATATCTTCAACCTGCATTAAAACATTTTGGTTTTTTTTTTTCATTGATCAATGATTTCGTCGATTTTTGATGACAAAATAGGTATTTGACTTTATTGAACTACGCCTGGAAATCCCGAATTGCTTTTGTGATACGATGATAATTTCTTAGATTTTATGAGATCAACCACTAAGTTTAGCAATTTGGTAAAATATTTCACGTTCTGCTGACGGTTATTTAATTTATTTTTGTATAGAGAACTGGTGTTTTTCTTGTTTCGAGGCACCTTCCACCTTCTAACAATTATGAGGTACGTTTAAGACTATTTAGTACGTAAGTTCTAAAATGTAGGTATCGATCTTAACAAAAAGATGGTAGCACGGTAATATTATCTATACAGTATTGTAACTCGGCCGTATCTTTTAAATAAATGCTTATAGCCGTGCGGCACGTAAACATGTGATAGTGCTGCCTGCTTCCAGCATTTTTACATTTGCTACTTTGTGTTTTAATTTAATTTTATGATTGTAAATATACTTTTTATATAAACAAATAAAATAGGTACTTTGTGAATTGAATAGGAAGTGTTCAATAAAATGCGTGTCGTTTTTTGATTGTTAGATTTAATTAAAAAACCATGTTTATGTTTGAATAACAAATCGGTTAAATAAATTTGCGACCGAAAAATATTTGCGCCTCGGCTGAGACTTACGAAATGCTTTATTATTAGATTTTTTAAATATAAAAAAATCCGCTTTCTAATATAAAGCTAAAAATAATATAAGTTACAAATTGTTTTGGAAAACATGGACAACGTGGAGAAAAGGAATATCTTTTAATTGGTTATACCTAGATACCTGCAGCTACTTTACAATTTATATGTTCGTTTTTAAATGAAGTTCAGATTTATTATTTCTTTATTTCTATTTTATTATTTATTTCCTCCATTTTTTATATATTTCACAAAATCATCAGTGCGGCACAGTCTCGACTGTCTGCATGCCGAGCGCATGCCGAGATCGAGGCGCGTAAGCATAGCTGCCGCTTCGTCCGTTTGTATGAAGTTGGAATAGGGTCGTTGCGCTGGTTTTCGGCCTTTTAGTGGAGTTGTCAACTTTAAGGTATTATAAAAAATAATAGCGATTATGTTGACCTAGCGTTGTTAATGTTAATTTATAGCTTATATAATGTAGTTTTCACTTTGATAACTCATTGATGCTAC